TCACTTGAAGTGAAGAATGCTAGTACTCAAAGCTCATCTGTTGCCCTGGTAAAATTCATGCGCCTCCCACGGTTTAAATTAAACATTGGATATTAAGGGGATGGAAAACGAATTTTAACTTTCCATTTCAGCAAATGTCACAGTATCGGTCACTTTCACCTCAAGACTCTTATCAGCAACAGAAATTAAGTTTCCCTAAATATGCTCCACTCACGAGCTTTCCAGGAAAAAAATAGGAAAGGCTTGCTTTTAGCTTTGGAGAAATTCAAGACACCATCCAATAATGAGGTAAAATGGTGACAATCATGTTGTCAGTAGACAATCACATTGTGCTGTGCCAACCAATCAACAGGCTCTTCTTAAGGGCTTACCATGTGCCAAGCCCAGTCCTAGGCCCTGGGATACAGAGACCAAAGTGGCCTTGCCCTTGAAGTACACACACAATACCATGGGAGATGACCTGTATAAAGCACGTTCAAAACTACAAGGTAATGTGGAGCGTAGAGACTCAGGCAAGGCTTCATATAGGAGGTAGTTAAGCTGAGAACTGAAGGCAATCTTGGCAGGGGCACTGCCCAGGAAGAGGTAGAGTCTCACAGCTGGGTGTGAGGGTATCTCATCCCCCTACTTGATCAGAAGCAGGGTCTCTAACCGATGGGTCCTCTCCCAGCGCCCAGCGCACAACATGTGCTTAATAATACGGTAAATGTTTGCTGAATGAATAAATGAGCCTCAGTATATATTAAGTCATTACAGATCAGTAAAGTAGTTATTACTGGAAAGAAGAAAGTAAAGCAGCAGACTTCACTATCATTAGAGGTTCTTAAAGCTCTGCATTGTACTAGCAGTGAGACCATAAGCAAGTCACCTGACTTCTGAGTCTCAGTTTCTCCATCTGTACAATGGGAATAATCATACTTGTACTATTTACCATACAAGAAAACACTCTGTCATGTTGGTCATTCTGCTTAATGCAAAGAAAGCCACACTGGGCTTAAGAGGACTAAAGGCCTGGGTTCAAGAGCTGCCCCTCTGTTTCAGAGATAAAGCACCAGGACCAAGTGAGTGCTTCTTTGGGGCCTGGCTTCTTCCTCTTCAAAATGAAGAGGCTGGGCAAGATAGATAACCTTCCAGATCCCTTCCAGCGCCAATGCCTGTGAGTCTGTCAACAACTCTGCCAATCTGTCTCATATGGGAGAATCTGCCTGTCACCCAAGTCAGACTGTGCAGAATAAGGAGATGGGTCTCAACAGCCAATCTTCACCTTTGAAGAGAGGAAGTGAAGGAGGAATGGAAAAAGAGCATCAGCCAAGGTGTGGGCAGGAAAGGTCTCTGAGTGATGAACCACCTGCCCTCTGCAAACGTGGGAGGTGAGGTTGCCATTTTATCATCTATGAAATGAGCGGCCTCCGTTCAGTCTTAAATGTCCCTTCCAGCTCAAACATTCAGCGATTCTGCTGACAAAATGGCTGAGATTTTCATTTGCCAAAATAGCTCAAAGCTCATCAGAAGAGGATTATCCAAGAGCGAGACTCAAAGAAGCAAACAGCGAGCCAGGCTGGTGTTAATAGTCACACCATGGCCTCCCAAACGGACCATCTGAGTTTGGGTTAGCTGGTCAGCACAGGACAGTGGACAAGGGAGCAGGAGAGGTGAGTTTCGAGTCTTAGCTCTGCCATGAATTCATGGAGTTTAAGTAAGCTCCTTCTCCTTGCCCATACATCACACCATCGCCCATGAATCCTCAGCTTCCTCCCCATAATCACACAGGTGGGATGGATTCCCTCATCTCTTAGATCTATTGGGGCATTTCGATTCTGTGATTTCAGAAGCAAGTTCGGAAATGCAGCAAAACTTTGAATTGGGAAGGTTTACTGCTGGGCACTCTTTAAGATAATACCTCTAACAAGGGTACTTTAAAACTCTGCCTTGGAAATGTTCCCTGGATAGACTATGCACTCTTGGAAGGCCAACTGGGTTTTTGCCTTTCTATGTATCTCCAGTGCTTAGATCAGTGCCTGGCACACAGTAAGTGCTTAATAAATGCTTGTTGAATGACTGCAGAAAACATGTCAGCAAAATGGGCAGGCTGAACACAGTAGTGCCTTACTCCTCCAAGACAATGTAAGCAGGAAATTTTTTTTTAGGCAACTGCTAATCTTTCAATTAACTTTTGGTAACATCTTTTGGCAAACAGACTTTTATTTTCACTTGTCTCTAAATTACTCAATTTTGTGTTGCAAAGTGAACTGCCTAGAGTGAAGGAACTGAAGGAAACTGAGTGCCAACCTTAGATAAAGGGATTAGCCTGAAACCTGCCAGACCTTTAACCACTTAACAGCCCCTACTGTCTCTGGTATATCAGCTGGGAACTCTAGGCTCCTGGAGGTCTGAAGTGAAGAATGGGTGACCCAAAGATGAGTGGCTATGGAGCTGGAATGGACACCCCCACCCTCATCCCCCAGGACCATTCATCCCTCAAGACCATCCACCCAAACTCTTTATCTTGAAAAGGAGGAAACTGAAGAACAAAGAGAGGGAGAGCCTTACATATTACACAGTGGCAGTACAGTAGCGCAAAGGGTGCTCCACTGCCAAGTCAGCGTTTTATTTTATACCCTCCTCTTCTCCCAGGATTGTAGCTATGCAGGTTCTTACCCAAGTATGGAGGGACTTGGCCAGATTCAGTGTTCACTGAAGACCCTTCCTGCACTAAGCATCTACGAACTGATACTACTGTAACCACCCACTTAAAGTACATCCATGTTCTTTTTTTTTTTTTATTAGGCAATTGGAGTTAAGTGACTTGCCCAGGGTCACACAGCTAGTAAGTGTCAAGTATTTGGTCTGAGGTCAGATTTGAACTCAGGTCCTCCTGACTTCAGGGCCGGTGCTCTACCCACTGCGCCACCGAGCTGCCCCCAAAGTACATCCATTTTCACAGAACTGTTTTTAAGGATTGCCTCTCTCTTTTTATTATCTCCAATGCAATGGCTCTCTTAACAAAACTGGACTTTTTCAACAGCTTGTTTCTCCTCCTAGGAAGCAGAAACCTCAAAACAGATCTCACCAGGGAAAGAATAGGAAAATGAGAGACCTTAAAACAGGACACAACAAAATCTTCATAATTCAGGAAAAAAAATTTAAGCAGTGATTATATTTATTCAGTAGATATTAAACTCAACTGCTTCCAGGACATGAAAACAATATTGGTGATCCTACTTCTTCTCATGTTCTTCCTGCCCTCAGTAACACTGTGCACAGCCATAGTTCTGTTTTTCACTCTGGATCACATTCCTCAAAGTCAATCTAAAAAGTCTGTCTTTGCAGCAATCATCAAAACTGCTTGTTACTGGCTAAGAAATAGAGTGGTAGATCAGTGGAATAGGTTAAATATGCGAGACACAGTAGTCAATGACTACAGTAATCTTTTATTTGATAAACCCAAAAACCCCAGCTTCTGGGATAAGAACCCACTCTCTGAAAAAAACTGCTGGGAAAACTGGAAAAGAGTATGGCAGAAACTAGGCATAAACCAAAATCTCACACCATATACAAAAATAAAGTCAAAATGGGTTCATGATTTAGATATAAAGGCTGATACTGTAAGCAAACTGGGAGAACAAGTAATAGTTTACCTATCAGATCTATGGAGAACAGAAGAATTCATGACTAAACAGGAGATAGAGAGCATTACGAAAAGCAAAATAGATAACTTTGATTACATTAAATTGAAAAGCTTTTGCACAAACAAAGCCAATGCAACTAAGATTAGAAGGCAGGTAGAAAATTGGGAAAGAATTTTTACAACCAGTCTCTCTGATAAGGACCTTATTTCTACAATATATAGAGAATTAAGTCAAATCTATAAGAATACAAGTCATTCCCCAACTGATAAATGGTCAAAGGATATGAACAGGCAGTTCTCAAATGAAGAAATTAAAGCTATCTATAGTCATATGAAAAAATGCTCTAAATCACTATTGATTAGAGAAATGAAAATCAAAACCACATCACACCTATCAGACTGGCCAACATGACAAAACAGGAAAATGATAAATGTTGGAGAAGAAGTGAGAAAATTGGAACACTAATGCATTGTTGGTGGAGTTGTGAAATGATCCAACCATTCTGGAGAGCAATTTGGAACTATGCTTAAAGGGCTATAAAAATGTGCATATCCTTTGACCTAGCAATAGCACTTCTAGGGCCATATCCCAAAGAGATCACACAAATGGGAAAAGGACCCACATGTACAAAAATATTCATAGCAGCTCTTTTTGTGGTGGCAAAGAATTGGAAATTGAGAGGATGCCCATCAATCAGGGAATGGCTGAGTAAGTTGTGGTATATGAATGTAATGGAATACTATTGTGCTATAAGAAATGATGAACAGGCTGACTTCAGAAAAACCTGGAATGACTTGTATGGTCTGATGCTGACTGAAGTGAGCAGAACCAAGAGAACATTGTACACAATAACAGCCATGTTGTGTGATAACTAATATTGATAAACTTAACCCTTCCCAGCAATACAAGGATCTAAGACCTCTCCAAGGGCCTTGTGATGGAAAATGATCCACACCCAAAGAAAGAACTATAGAAGTTGAATTGTTATTTTTTTTCTCTTCTGTTGAGTTTTGTTTCCTCTTTCTGGTGGTTCCTCCTATTGGTTCTAATTTTTACTTACAATATCACTAATGTGAAAATATGTTTAATAGGAATGCAAATGTATAGCCTATATCAGATTGTGCGCCGTCTTGGGGAGGGTGGTGAGGAGGAAGGGGGAGAAAAATTTTAAACTCAAAAGCATATGGAAGTGATTGTTGATAAATCTAAATAAATTAATTTAAAAAAAGTCTGTCTTTGAAAACCTACCACCAATCCCAAAGTCACAATCTGGGGATAGGTGAGAACAGGACAGAAGGCTAACAGGCCAACTCTTCTGGTCTAGAGGCTGCAGCTCAACACTGAGCAGACAGTCTCCCAAAGTTCACTTACATCTCGAGCTTTCCCATAGAAGGCTTCTTGGAAAGCAGCTTCTAGTGATCCAATAAAATAAACAGGATGGCAGTCTCCATATCTAGGGGAAAAAATGAAGTCAATGGATGAATTAAAATGGATTTTATATCAATTTTCATGCTTTGTACCTTTTTTTTTTTTTAAAGAAATGCAAGCTAAAACCATCTGAGTAGAAACTTGTCCTAGAGAGACAATTCTCAAACATCTCCTCACACTTTCAAGTAAACTTCATTAGTTTTCACTATTCCAACACTTTGGGTGAGAACAGGTAGGTACTTTGGAGTCAGTAATCCAACACAAAGGAAAGTGACATTCACCAGATTAACATTTTTCAAATGCAGAAGAGGGGCAGCCTGGTCTGATAGAAAGAGAAGGCTGGCCTCAAAGCCAGAAGGATCTGGGTTCAAGTGTCAGCTCTGACATATCCTGACCAGGTGACAGTGGGAAAGTTACATTACCCCCTAGGGTCGCTGGGAGCTCTCTGAGGCTGTGCACGTTCCCCAAAAAAGAGATGACCTACACTGGTATTTTAGGAGTTCTCTTCCCTGGGATCTGACCACTTTAAGGATGGAGTCCTTAAAGTGGTTATAGCCCCTACAGTCAATCAAAGGCCCACAAGGGAAAAAATGGGAGTGTCTTTGGTCTTCCACCTCATTTGGTTTCTCAAGGCACTGGGCTAGAGGTAGAGAGCCCTGAGTTCTGACTCTGGCTGGCCTGGGCTGGGGATGCCAGTGAGGCCTTGTTAAAAGGTCCTTCTTTTTTCTAGTCTGAAGCTTCTGATTTCATAAAATGAACGGGATTGATGAGGTTGTCTAAGTTCCTTCCAATTAAATGAATCTATTTTTAGCTGCTCATCCCATATTTCTTAATTTTCTTAACTGTTCGGTAGGAATTGAATTTCAAGGTGAACATACTATTTTCAAGCATAAGACAGAGAATACAATTTATGTGAAAAATTTCTAAGGCTAAGGATTTTCATGACCAGAGCAGTTCTTAAGTTTTATTTGTATTGTTCTTACATTGAAAAAACTCAAACATATCCTTGATTATTTTTTGAGTGGAGGGGCTGCAGTGGGAGGCAATGAGTAGTATAGCATGCCAGAAAAAACCCCAAACTTGCCAAGTAAGAAAATGTCTGCCACTAAGGTCCTAGAGAATGAAACATTCAGTGCCAGGAATCTATAAATTATTATATAAACTCAATCTTGGGATCATTAAATGCCTTACTGTCAATTGTCTGTGATGAAAACAGATCCAACTACCACAGCACAGTAACAAATACACATTAAGCTTGTATGTTGGTGATTTAATCCTACCTTGAAGAAAACTCTGCTGTAAATTGTAATAAGGCATCCCCTTCGTTTTCCGCATTTTCTGGCACTAATCAAAAACAAAAAGCAAAAAAACACACAGAGATAACCTTTAACTCCACGTTTAAGAAATACATTTCTGAACAAGCAGGAGACAAATGAAAGATTAGGGCCTGTGCCATAGCTTTTGGGAGATTTTCACTTGACAACACCCCTGGACATGTTATATGATTTTAGCAAAACAAAATGAAGGGGAACCTTAGAGAAGAATGAATATTTTGTCAATCCTATTGATAACACCCAAGGAATGCATAAAATGGGTGCCAGTTATCACTTGGGATTTTTGGTATTCTTCTTGAAAAAGTTGAAACATGGTTTGTAATTGAGTAATATTTGTAAGAAGAGAATCGGGGAGGGGGAAGAGGGCATGGGGCGAGAAAGTCAGTTTTATTGAAAATACCAGGTAGATTATATGCTGGTAAATCTTGGCAGAAATTCAGAGACAGAATGACCTGAATGTAGAGCTAGTCCTGGCCACCATAGTTCTCGCATCTCATGAACCTTAACCTTACCTCTATCTACCCATGGGGAGCAGGTATATCATGAGGAGGAGGCAGTGGCGGTGGCACAGGTTAACTTGCCTTGGGCCACTACAATAGAAAAGTAATGCTATGCTTCTTCAGGGGGAACTGACCAGAACCCGGTGGCACTTTTCATTAAGCAGGGAGCCTTAAGCGTGAGAATCAAATCTGTCAGCTACAGTACGGGACCCAGAACACAAGGCTCTCTGCATTTCTTGGAGGCATCAGGGCCCTAGGGTAGAGAGGATGCCAGTCCTGGAGGAGTGGTTGGAATGGGCTTATCTGCCTTCTCTTTTGGGTGCACTGACCTAAACCTGGGCCCCAGGGGGGATTACTACTCACTCATGGGTGATTTTCGAAGGGCAGAGGACGCAATGCCGAACATCTCTCCGTCATCCACTCCAAATTCAGGAGCGTCTTCAAAGTCATCGCCGTCACTGTCGCTAACCATGTGAACATCGGTGCACTGCTATTCAAGGAAAGTTGGGATGAGGCTAAGATTACCCTCAGCAAGACAAACTTGGATGGAGCTTCCCTCATGGAACAACCCTTCCCACGGATCAGCGGCCTTTCTCCTCTCTAGCTACTTTAAGTTTCCTCAAGTCAAGTGCTTCCCTCCAGGGAACACTAGATGCTATGAGAGTAACAATAGAACATAATAAGGGGATTTTAGAGAACTCACCAGAGAAAAATAAGAAAGCCAGGTAGTAGTCACACCTAGTGAGGTGGACTGAAAAAGGTGTGGAAGGCATGTAATATTATCTTGAGCCTTCTAAGGAACGAAAGTCTTAGGTGACTTCTTCCTGCTCACAAAGGAAAAATAAAAATCGATAGCCGGGTCTTCAAGGCCCTCCACAGTTTGGGGTCAGGCTTTGCATATTCATCCCCTCCACTCTTTCCTTTCAAGTAAACTGGAGACTCCCCTGAGGGTCCACTCCTAGACCTCCCCCTCCTCCCCCTCCCCCCAAGCAGCTCCTCCCCTCAAGGAGCTCACAGCCTAATGGGAGAGACAACCTACCAGGCACACAAACACACAACTGAGAAAGTCACATTCTTCATGGAGCTCACATTCCACCAGGGAAATACATGTTCACAGATAAGTAAAAGAGGGATATATACAAAATGAACACCTTGTGACTTGGGGAGCAGAAGGCTAACAAGTACTACCTCTTGAAGGAGGTAACACTTGAGCCTTGCAGGAAACTAAGGTTCTCAGGGGCAAAGGTGAGAAGGGATAGCACTGAGGGGTGGGAGTGGGGCATCAAGAGTAGGCCAGATGTGTTTCTGTCGATCCTCGCCCCTTCCCCCCCAAAAGAAAAGAGTTAATCTCTTAGTTCCACTTTAGTGTCTGGCTGTCTTCATGGGAGGGCATCAGCTGGACTGAGCCGCTTCTCTTCACTTTTCTCCAGCCGGGGGTTCATCCCATACTGTGCCTCCTGGTTTTAAGATCGCCAGCTCACCCACCCTTCACGCACCCACACAGAGACTTCTGAGTTTTCCTGCTGTCTCACTTCGTAGGTGTCTCCTGTGACTCGTGCGCGTTGCTGCTGTGTTCTCCCTGTGTTGTAACCCTTTGAGCAGGGAGACCAGCCTGCCTTATGAGTGCAGCTAAGCCATCCGACTGTAGCAAAAAATCAAAGCAGCACCTAGTCTACTCAGGTCACTTCAAAATTTCTCCTGTTCTTCATGCTGGCTTGAAGTGGGATCCTCAGCCCTGTGTCGTTCTTAGCAGCACCCCTGGAGAAATTCCTGACACTCTCTGGACCTCAGCTCTCTTCTCTGATAAATCAGATCGGGCTTCAGAAGACGCAGCATCAGCTTAACTCTAAACCCTACGGTCCTGGAAGAGGAGAGCGGCCATCTTCAATCAGGAAAAGCAGAGTCCTACTCTCTGGGCAATTAATCCCCCCAAATTCAATCCATCATGCATTTACATAGTCTTTCTCTTCCTTCACAAAGCCTGGGACCTCTGAATCTTGAGATTCAGTTGAGAATGAGGTTCCAGCACCAAGAGCCCTCCACTCCCTACCTGCTTCCTCTGGACCAGCTCTTCCCTTCATGCCTCATTTCGGTGAGACAACTACTCCTTTTTAACTTCTCCCTAACCAGTTTTATTTTTTAGAATCAACCCCTCACACTCGGCTCAGTTCAAGCCTTTCTTTTAAACTACCCAAGTCATGACGACAGTCTTAAGTAGTACTGACAACATTTTCACATATAAGAAGTATAGAGTTTGAACTTATTGAGTCCTACGTGATTGGTCTTTAATGTTTTCCTTATGCTTCTTCTGGATCTTACATGCTGAATTTTCTATTGAGTCCTGGTCTTTTTGTCACAAATACCCAGAAGTCTTTCAGTTTATTAAATGTCCTTTTTTGTTGTTGTTCAGAATTATACTCAGCTTTGCTGAGTAAATTATTTTTGGTTGCAACCCCTGATCTTTTGCTCTTTGAAATATAATATTCCAAGCCCTATGGTCTTTTAATGTAGAAGCTGCTAGGTCTTGTATTATTCTGATTGGAGCTCTGCAGTATTTAAATTGTTTTTTTTTTCTTGTTGCTTATAATAGTTTCTCCTTAACCTGGGAGCTTTGAAACTTGGCTATGATATTCTTGTAAGTTTTCCTCCTGGGATCTCTTTCAGGCGGTGATCAGTGGATTTTTTTTTTCCTATTTCTACTTTATATTCTTGTTCCAGAACTTCGGGGCAGTTTTCCTTAATAATTTTTTATAATATTGTATCAAGACTTTTTTTTAATCATAACTTTCAGATAGTCCAACAATTCTTTCCCTCTCCTTGATCCTTCTCTCCAGATCAGCTGTTTTTCTAATGAGAAGTTTGACATTCTCTTATATTTTCTCATTCTTTTGATTTTATTATTTCTTGGTGTCTTATGACATCATTATCTTCTCCTTATCTAATTCTAAGGAGTTATTTTCTTCCTTAAGTTCTTACATCTCTTTTTCCAATTGATTGACCTTTTTTATTTCCTAATTTTCTTAATTTTCTTGGATTGCTCTTATTTCCCCCCCCCAATCTCTCTTATTTGATTTTTGAAGGCCTTTTAAAGTTTTTCCAAGAACTCTTTTTGGGCTTGTAGGGTCTCAAAAAGCTCTTGCTCCCTGCAATTCCTCCCAAGGCTGCAAACTTCAGCTCCCTCCTCAGCCCTGACACGGAAATCAGGGACTCCAATTTTCTACAAGTGTCCACAGCCAGCAGCCCTTTTGCTACTGCATTCACAAGGCATGAGCTTACTCTTTCTTGCTCACAGCCCCAGCCCAGGACCACAACTGGGCAGCAGAGCTGGGCCTGGCCTCCCAAAACAATGGGGAATCCTTCAATCTTCCCTTATTCAGCTGTCCAACCCTAACACTGTCCATAAAGTGAAAAAGTTACTGAGGCTGTGGCTGCTTCCCTGACCCAGGGGCTTGCTGTTTGTTGGTTCAGTGAAGTCTGCCTGGGGGTGTTTGCACTTCAAGAAGGCCAAACCTCCACCTCAGGAGGTAGAGTTTTTCCAGAGGTCCTCTTCTCAAGTTATTTTAGGAGAACAAAGGCTTTCCCTAGATTTTTATTTATTTCTGGTGCGCTCTAAATTCACTTTGAAGAGATGTTCTGCCTTGTTTTTTGGGAAAATTTGGAGAGTCTGGTATTTTCTGACCTACTCCGCCATCTTCCCCTGGATAGTGTTTTTCATCCTGAGTCCCTTAGAATCTTCTTGGATCATTGTATTGCTGAGGATATCTAAGTCATTCCCAGTTGATCATCATACAATGTTCTCCTGGTTCTGTTCATTTCATTTTACGTAAGTTCATGTAAGTATCTCTAGGTTTTTTCTGAAAGTATTCTGCTCATCACTTCTTATATAGTACAACAGTATTCCATTACAATTATATTCTCTCAAGACCTCTCTGAAGAATCTTGGAATTGAATGCCGGATATGGGAGACACCGGCACAGGACTACTCAGCATGGCATGCCCTCATCAGAGAAGGTGCTGTGTTCTATGAGCAAACCAGAATTGAAGTTGCTCAAAAGAATTGCAAGATGCACAAATTTAGAGAATCCACCCCACATGTTCATATAGCCTATTTGTGCCTGATCCGCAATACAGCATTCTGAGCTCATCTTGGTCTGATCAGCCACAGTCGGCCACACTGTAACTTGACTCTAAAATAGTGATGTCATTTTGGTCCTCTTCAAGCACGAAGGACAACAACCAACCAACTGTACCACAGCTTGTTCAGACATCCCCTAAATGATGGGCATGCCCTCAGTTCTAATTCTTTGCCCCTACAAAGAGAGCCACTCTAAATATTTTTATGCATATAGGTCATTTTCCTTTTCCTTTTTCTGGTTAATCTTTTTGGAATACAGACCTAGTAGTAGTATTGCTGGGTCATAGGATATGCAGTTTGATAGCCCCGTGGTCACAGTTCCAAATTGCTCTCCAGAATGGGTGCATCAGTCCATAACTACATCAATAATGTATTAGTGTCCCAATTTTTCCACATCTCCAACATTTAATATCTTCCTTTTCTGTTATATCAGCCAATCTGATAGATGTGAGGTGATACCTCAGAGCTGGTTTAATCTGCATTTCTCTAGTAAACAGTGATTTAAAGCATTTTTTTTTTATAGGGCTATAGATAGCTTTGATTTCTTCATCTAAAAACTGGCTATTCATATTCTTTGACCATTTATCAACTGGAGGACGACTCATTCTTAAGACATGAGGCCTTTATCAGAGAAATTTGCTATAAAATCCCACCCCCCCTTTTCTGTTTTCCTTCTAATCTTGGCTGCATTGGTTTTTGTTTGTGCAAAACCCTTTTTAATTTAATATAATTACAATTATCCATTTTACATCCCATAATGCTTCCCAAATTATGGGAATTCCCAGGCTCTCATGCCTGGTAATAAATTCTTCCCTTATCCATAGACCTGACAGGTAAACTATTCCACACTCCCCTAATTTGCTTATGTTATCACTCTTTATATCTAAACCATTTATCTGTTTTTACTTAATCTTAGTATACAGTGTGAGATGTTGGTCTATACCTAGTTTCTACCAAATAGCTTTCCAGTTTTCCCAAAAGTTTTTGTCAAATAACTAGTCCTTATCTCAAGAGCTTGGATCTTTGTATTTCTTAAACATTAGATTACTGTGGTTGTTACTTACTGTTTATTGCATACCTAATCTATTCCCTTGATGTACCCCTCTAATCCTTAGCCTGTACCAAATTGTTTTGATGATTACAGCTTAGTAATACAGTTTGAGATTTGGTATGCCCAAGTCACTTTCTTTCACTTTTTTTATTGACTCCCTTAATATTCTTGAACTTCTGTTCTTTCAGATGAATTCTGTTGTTATTTTTTCTAGCCCTATAAAATAATTTTTGGTAATCTGATTGGGATGGCACTGAATAGGTAAAATTAATTTAGATAGAATTATCATTTGTTATATTGGAAT